GCCTTTGGGATGTGGCCTGCTTCCAGTATATAAGATGCTTTGAAAAATGTCTTGAGCTTCTTGGCACATCTAGAGCCTGTGTTTGGCAGAGTCATCAGTCACCTGCCATGTTGCCTGCCGACTTCAGGACTGTTTCTGGACTTAAACTAGTGGCCTGCCGTGTTGCTTGATAATCTTGGGACCATGCTATATTACTTGTCTACCTTGGGTTTGTCAGCTTCAGCAGCCAGCAGCTGCCTAAGTTAAGAGACACCTCCAACTCCAGTGGGCTGGGAGCAAGAGGCAAAGCTGAAGCCCAAGGTCGAGTGGTCTTCACCCAGCCCCTAGAGCCAGCACTTTGAATTAAGACTTTTAGCCTCCTAAACTGTAATAGAATAAATCCCTGTTTGTTAAATCCATCCATTTGTGGCATGTCTGTTATAGCGGCACTAAAAAAAAAAAAGAAAAACTCACTGCCTTTGAGTTGATTCCAACTCATGGCAACTACCATTGGTTTTCTGAGGTGGTAAATCTTTACAGAAGTAGATTGCCCCATCTTCCTTTCACAGAATGGCTCATGGGTTTGAACCTCCGGTCTTCTGGTTAGCAGTCAAATGTCTTAGGCACTGCACCACCAGAGCTCCTTATGTTGTTGTTGTTGTTATGTGCCATCGAGTCGGACCCGACTCATAGCGACCCCTCCTTGGGTTTCTGAGGCAGTATCACTGCGGAAGTAGATTGCCCTATCTTCCTTCTGAGGAGTGGCTGGTGGGTTTGAACCGCCAGCCTTCTGGTTAGCAGTCATGTGCCTTATAGCAGCACTAAACCAAAACCAAACCAAACTCACTGCTGTCAAGTCGGATCTGACTCATAGTGACCCTTCCTTGGGTTTCTGAAGCAGTATCACTACGGAAATAGATTGCCCAACCTTCCTTCCAAGGGGTGGCTGGTGGGTTTGAAATGCCAGCTTCTGGTTAGCAGCCAAATACCTTAGGCACTACGCCACCAGAGCTCCTTATAGCAGCACTAGAGAACCAAAACAACACATAAGCATGCCCTGGCGGTGTTCTCTCTAGCTGTCATCTTTGTACTATCAGATCTAAGCTCTCCACACCGATCCCTATGGTGGGAGGAGATAGGCTCATCATCTCAGTCTTCTTTAGCAGCCTATGAGTATGGTCCTCATCAAACCTGATGAAATGTTTTGTTTTCTGATGAACTCTGAACTAGTGGGACAGATATTTTATTCTTTTTTCAGTCCAGATAGGTATCATTTTTCTAGAATATATTCTCTTACACGCATGGGAGATGATGGAGATGATATTGGGAGATAGCAATATATGTAGTCTATTGAAGTTGCTTTGTGTGTGTGTTAGATGCTGTTGAACCTGCTCTGACTCATGGAGATCCCATGTATAACAACAAAATGTCCTACACCATCTTCACGCTCACTGGCATGTTTGAATCCATTGTATCAACCCATCTCATGGAGGATTTCCCTTGCCTTTGCCGGCTCTCAACTTTACCAAACATGATGACCTTCTCCAGTGATTGGACCTAGAATGATGTATCGAAAGTAAATGAGTTGAAGTCTCAGACAATATTCTGTGATCTATACAATTTTTATTATCAATTACCATGGATTTAAAGGGAGCTCTGGTGGCATAGTGCCCAAGGCATTTGACTGCTAACCAGAAGGCTGGTGTTTCAAACCCACCAGGCACTCCTCAGAAGGAAGATTGGGCAATCTACTTCTGTAGTGGTACCTCCTTGGAAACCCAAGGAGGGGTCACTATGAGTTGGAGCCAACTCCATGGCAGTGAGTTTGAGTTTATGCATTTAAATGCTAAATTGATTGAATAGATTACTAAATATTAAAAGTTACAAATAGTATCTCTTCAGTATTTAATTATTCAAGACCAAAGCATTACAATATTTTATAATTCATCAACTTTATGAAACACATTACAAAAAGAGAGGAATGTTTTCAGGATCTATATGCATCTACAGCGACAACTGTAATCATGAGGACAACAATTAACATGGAGACCTTTGGAACACTGTACTAGGTGCATTACATGCATTATCTCAGTGGTTCCAAACTTTTCCTGAAGAGTCTGATAGAAAGTATTTTAGGATTAGTGAACAAGGCGGTCTCTGTTGCAACAACTCTACTTTGCCACTATTGAATGAAACCAAAAACCAAACTCACTGCCAAAGAGTCGGTTTTAACTCTTAGTGACCCCTTGTTGGGTTCCGAGGTAGGTAGTATCTCTACAGAAATAGATCACCCAATCTTCCTTCCAAGGAGTGGCTGATGGGTTTGAATTGCCAGCCTTCTGGTTAGCAGTCAAATGCCTTAGGCACTACACCGTCAGAGCTCCCCGTAGAATGAAAACAGCTACTAATGAATGAGCTTGGGTATGTTTCAATAAAAGTTTAAGGTCACTGAAATTTTAATTTTCACATGTCATAAAACAATATGCTTAAAAAGTTTTGGTAATGACTAAAAAATCTAATAACCATTTTTACCTCTACTAACAAGACATACAAACGGATGGTTGGATTTGGTCTTCAGGCCAATTAACTGACACCCCTGCTATACTTACTTGCTTTTTTTTTTTTTTTAATTTTATTTTGATTTGGGTGAAGATTTAGAGAGTAAATTCACTTTTCATACAGCAGTTCATGTCATTGACCAAAATTTACAATGCAACAGCTCCCCTCCCACTTCCTCCCCATAGCTACCTCTTCCCAGTGTCCATCCCTCCATACTCTTCTGCGCCCTGAGCTGTCTCCCTGTGCATAAGCAGCCCTTCCTTCTCCCATGATTGTTCTCTCCAGGGCGTGTGTCTACTTGAGGTAAATGTTTAACTCACATGCCTGTACATTGTTTGGCTGTTAACCACAGGTGTGGGTTCAATTCCAGACCTGAAGGGCAGTTAGGGGCCATAGTCTCAGTGGTTCCACCAGGCTCTATTGGACTAGCAAACCTGGTCCCCACCTTCTTTTTTTTTTTTTTTTTTACTCCAAATGATTTTGAGTTTTGTCCCACATTGTTCTGCCTCTCTATGCAGGATCTTCTACATCCCTTCCAAGTGGATGACAGTGGTACCTGGGCACCATCTAGTTCTTCTGGTCTCATAGTTGTATAGGTTGCAGATCGGATGGTGTACCAGTCACTAGGACTGATTGTTTCCATTAATTTTGGTTTTCTTCTTTCTTCTTGACGAGGAGAGACCCATTGTTGCATCTTGATGGCAGCTTGCTAGCTTTTAAGATCCCAGTCGCTACTCGCCAAAGTAGGAGGTGGAACAATGTTTTGTATAGTATGTTATGCCAATTGAGCTTGATGTCCCCTGCGACTATGGTCCCAAGCCCGCAGGATTCCTACTTGCTTTAAATGATTAGATGTACTGTTATATACTCATACTGGGTCAAGTGAATGGGAGTTTTCTCCCTAGTGCTGTTTGCTACCCTATTTTTCATCTCTTTCCCACTCTGCTGGGTCAGAGACTGATGGGGCCTTTATTAAGTTGTTCCTAAGGTTAAGATTAGTTCTTATATGTCTAGACTCTCTTGTTGTTAGGTGACATCAAGTTGGTTTGACTCACAAGCATATCGGGTAAACATTTACATCAGGTAGATATACTCCTTAGAATGAACAATCATGGGAGAATATATCAGCAGTGGCTGCCCAGGGAGATAGCTCAGAGGGCAGGAATGCACAGGAAGAAGGTCACAGGGAAGAGGTGACTACAGGAAGGAAGTGGGAAGAGAGCTGTTACATTGTAGGGAATTGCAGTCAATGTCATGAAACAAAATGTGTATGAATGGTTGCATGAAAAATGAATTTTTTTGGTAAACTTTCAGCTAAATCACAATAAAAATTAAAAAAAAATAAAGTTGGTTCTGACTCATAGCCACCCTAGGTACAACACAACTAAACACTGCCTGGTCCTGTGCCATCCTCACAATCATTGCTATGTTGGAGCCCATTGTCTAGACTCTAGACATAACGAATTTAAGAAGGCATATCAACTATAAGGATATGTGACAATCTTAAGTGTTTGAGCATTAGAGTGACATGATCAGATTTGGGCAGTTTTTAAAGATCAAGCAGTCTGCAATGTAGCAAAAAAAGGCAGAGTACCAAATTGTTGCAGTAATACAGGGAAAACCTAAACAAAGTCACTGCCTGGAGTCGGAGCCCACTCATAGTGACTCCTTGGATTTCTGAGGCGGTTATCACTACTGAAGTAGATTGCCTGGAAGAGACAACAGTAATATGGACTAGGCTGGTGGAAACGGGACTAAGAACAGTATACAGACTGGAGATACATTTAGGCTTAGGTGGTTGCTTGGATGAGGGTTGAATAGATTGATACTATCTCCAAGGATAAAAAAAAAAAAAAAATTACACTCTTTAAAGCGCTACCTAAATTTACTTGGCATATTATATCTTTCATCTAAACTATTAGTAATCATTTTTTAAAATTTCAGGATCCATTCAGTTTGTCTGATTTACTGATTCCCTGTATCCTAGAATGAAGCACAGTATCTTACTTTTTCAATGTAAAAGTTAAAAATACTTTTCTGAAAGCAGAAAAAAAAAATCCTCATTCATCACAGTCCAAAAGTGGGAATCACTGCAAGGGTACACTTTCTCTCAATTTTTAGAGCTTATTTCCAGGAGTCAGCCTTCCTCTACTCAGGTTCCCAACGCTGCCCCGCGCCCAGTCAAACCCCTTGACCCGCCCCCTGCACTGCCCTTCAGCCTTGCTCCCACTCCGGTTCCCTCCGTCCCACTCTCCCGCCCATCCCGCGGGGTAAGCCCCGCCCCCTCCAGCTCTGCAACCCAACTCCTTCCCTCTTTCCGTCGTTTCCCCCCCCCCTTTTTTCCCCCATGGCTGCCTTCGATTGGGTAAACTAGCCGAGCCGCGGCAGGGTACGCAGGGTAACCTCATTCTGATTGGTCAGATGGTAGGCTGGGCCGTTCGTGATTGGCTGATAGGGGGCGACAGCAAGTGTGGCTACGCTCCGGGTGTGCGGACGCCGCTTTGTTGCCTGAGGGGGTGGTGTTGGAAGTTAAGGGGGTCGGGGGGGCAACGGTTCTCGGGACCTGCAGTCACAGTCCTTGCGGTCGCTTCGCTGGGTATCCTTCAGCGTTAGGAGGCGCGCCGACAGCAGCCATGAGCGGCGGCGTGTACGGCGGAGGTGAGTGAGTGCGGTCGGAAGAGAGCGCGCGTTTTTGGCTTGTGGGGTTCGTAACTGCCGCCCCCAGCGCTCCCCTCCCTGGCGGTCCCTTCCGGTCTCCCCCTCTCTGGACTGGCCTCCCCGCCCCATCCCCGCCCCGTGCTATGCCCGCCTCCGGAGCCCACCGGGCTCAGCCAGCGCCTCTGGCGCCGGGGAGTCGCCGCCTCCTGCGTCTCCTTCTTGCCACGGCCCCAGGGAAGCGGGATTTTAGAGATGCTCTTTGGCTTGGGGCTGCACCGGCAACTGCGTTCTGGGGGCCGGCATGCTGAACGCCGGGCTTGAGTGTCCTCAAGGTTTCCGCTCTCCGAGTGCCTTCATAACTCGGCCCGGTCTGGATATATATGTTTAAACTTAGGAGGTCCCAGCAGTTTGCTGGCGTGGACGGAGGGTTTCCTCAACGTCCTCAAGATCGCGAAGTAAACCGCAAGGGGTCGAACTGGTTGGAGAAGTGGTGGCCACTCAGGACCCAGCCACCTGACCATCTGCGTGGAGCGCTTGGTTGCTTCACCACCTTCCAATAACTCCTGTGTATTTGTTGACTGGATTCTCAAGAGTACCTCGTGGGCGGGTCTGTTTGGGATTAATTCAGGAACACGTGTGATTTAAGGATGTCCAGAGAGTTTGCCCGAGGTCCTACACGCCTGTTTGTTTCGTTTCCTCGGATAGGCTGTGATGGAGTGGAAGATCACCACAAGGCCTGCGAGCTACACAGACCTTTGTTGTCATATCAGCCTCATCATTTATTCAGCCCTTTGGCCTTGGGCAGGTTACTTTTCCCAACTTCAGGCTTCTCGTTTATGGAATGAGATATCCAGTGGGGTAGTTGGAAAGGTTAACTGGGATAGTGCATGTCTTTACTACTCAAAGTGAGGTTCATGGACCAAGCAGTATCAGCATCTGAATCAGAGCCTGCGTTTTTTGCAAGACACTCAGGTGATTGAAATAAGTGATTTTTTTTATGATTCACGTTTTGCACTGTTTGAGTTAGAGAACAGGGAGACAAACCCAAAATACGGTTGTTATTTTTACTGTTTTCTAGTAAGGATTCCTTTTCTGAAAAAGAGAGTGTCAGGTAAGGGGAACAAAAATAAGGTTTACAAAGTTCTTACTAGTTTTTGAAGTGTAGTTTCAGAGTCTCTTAAGTAGTTTAGGACGCTTACTCCCTCCTTCTCTTTCTATTTATCCTTAGTTTTGATTTCTGAAAGTAATGGTTTCCCATTTTTACTTTTGAGAAGCCCTGGTAGATCTTCATGATTTACATCTTCGCAACCTAAAGGTGCAATTCTGGCAGAAAAACTACATCTGTGTGCCTTTTGCTTCATGGAGGCTGTTGATGTTATTTTATTATGACTTGCAGGTTCATTGATCCAAGGAGTATTTCCTTACACAGTCTTAGTTATCTAGTGCTGCTATAACAGAAATAGCACAGGTGGGTGGTTTTAACAAACAAGTTTATTCTCTCATGGTTTAGTAGATAGGAAGTCCAAAGTCAGGGCACTGGCTCTAGAGGAAGATTCTTGTCTCTTTTCAGCTTGTTCCTCAGTTCCTCCATTATCTTCATGTGCTCTGGCATCTGTCTTTCCCCATCTCTACTTACTGCCCTATGCCCAGTCTGCTGGTTTTCTATCTCAAAGGTGATTGGCTTGAAACACGTCCTACAAAGTTTACATACATGGAAGGAAGCTTCTTTGTTGGTTACCAGCGAGGGGAAGGAAGACAGGGAAAATTTCCTAGATAGGTTGGAAATAGAGAAAGAAACCAAAAGAGAGTGGTTAGCAAGTGTAGGAGGGAGGGGGAAAGCGGAAACTTTTGTTTGTGGGACAGTGAGTTTATACTAGTGGTGGTGGAGTATTTTGAAAAAGGATAGCAATAATGGTGGCACAATATGAAAAATGTCATCCATGCCCCTGAGCTGTAAATGAGGAAGATGTTAGGTTGTCAAATGTCTTGTTGTGTATATTTTCACCACAATAAAAGTTAAAAAAAAATCCTGTATTGAGGACCTCAATATAACTAACAAAGCCCTATTCCCAAGTGGGATTACATCCATAGATATAGGAGTAAGGATTTACAATACATTTTGGAGGGGACACAATTCAGTAATATAAAACATTATTTAATATGACCAAGGTAGAAATGAATAATAATGGTAGCAGCTAACATTTATTGAATACATACTGTATGCCAAGAACTGTCTCAGAGGTTTTGCATACATTGCATTTAATCCATGTGTTTTAATTAGCTAGTGCTTTTAATTAATTCTCTCATCAGCTGTAAATAGAGATGCTGTGAATCTGAACCGACTCATCAGCACCTAACAGTAACAACAGCTATGACAAATACCACAAATGGGTCATTTTAAAGAATAGACATATATTTCTCACAGTTTGGGAGGTTAAAAGTCCAAATTCATAGCAATGACTCTAGGGGAAGGCTTGCTTTCTGTTAGCTCTAGAGGAAGATACTCAGCTTCTGTAACCCTATCACAGTTTCTGTAACCCTGACATTTCTTGGTTCCTTGACTATCTCTATACAGCCTGTGTATTTACCCCATTTGTATTTGTTTCTCTGTGCCTAATCTCCTTTTTAAGGAAGACCAGGCAGTTACTTCCATAAAGATTTACAGCCTTGGAAACCCAGCGGGGGTCACTGTGAGTCGGAATCTACTTGATTGCAGTGGGTTTGATTTGTTTTTTTATTTTTATTTTTTTTAAATCTCCTTTTTATCTCACATGAACAGGTTTAAGACACTCCCTACATTGACATGGCCTCATAACAAAGAAAATCCTATTCCCAAACAGTATAAGGGTTAGGATTCTAACATGTAATTTTGGGGGACACAATTCATTCCATAACACCATGCATTAACTCATTTAATCCACAACCACAATAGGAAATGGTACTATTATTGAAGAAGAATAAGAGCTACAGAAAAGATTAAGTAACTAGCCCAAAGTCAGGTAACTTCCTAGTAAGTGGGAAACAAGGACAAAGATAAGGCATTTTGGGAACTTAAAAAAAAAAAAAAAAAAATTGTTGCTCTAATAATAATTTTTTAATTTTTTTTTGTTTTTGTTTTTGCAGTGTTCCTTCCCTTACCCTCCTACTCCGGTAACTGGCAAAGAAAGTTTCCTTCCATATATAAACCTTTCCTTGACTTTTTATAATAATGAACGAATAGAATACAGTATGTGTCCTGTGATTGATTTATTTCACTCAGCATAATCCAAAAATAATTTTACTGTTATAAGTTTAGAACCGGGAGCTCTGGTGGCATAGTGCCTAAGGCACTTGACTGCTAACCAGAAGGCTGGCAGTTCAAACCCACCAGCTACTTCTCGGAAGGAAGATCGGGCGATCTACTTCTGTAGTGATACCACCTTGGAAGCCCAAGGAGGGGTCACAGTGAGTCAGAGACAACTCAACTTCACATAACAACAGTAACAAGTTTAGAACCATATAGGGTTGATGTATTCAGAATAAACATCTTGCTACAAGTTGACTAACGTAGAAGAAAGTATTTTAGAGCCTGTTTCACAAAGTATTTAAAACTCACAAAACTGAGTGTTAGAGATTGAATTAAAATCAAACCCAAACTCTCTGCCATTGAGTTGATTCCAAGTCATAGTGACCCTCTTTGAGTTTCTGAGGTGGTAAATCCTTACGGAAGTAGATTGCTTAGTCTTCCTTCTGCAGAGTGGCTGGTAGGTTTGAACTGCTAACCTTCTGATTAGCAGTCAAATGCCTTAGGCACTATGCCACCAAATCTCCTTATAGATTGAATTATGTCTCCCCAGATATGTGTTACATCCTAATCTTTATGCTTCTATGCAAGTTCAAGCTGAAGAAAATTATTAAAATAATTTTAAGTCCACAAGAGTCAACATATGATGCTGTGGTGAATTGCTTGATGTGGCCCTTCTAGCCATTGCCCTCCATTTTGTGATGTATTGAAAATCCTATTATCCATGCCTGTTTGGGATGGTGTGGTACTTAAGATCAGGTGTCAACATCAGGTGTCAACTTGGCTGGGCAGCTGGTAGTAGTCATTCCCTATAATGACTGGCATTCGGCTGTGTGGTGGGATTTGCCATGAGCAACTGAGTAGCTGCTGATAGTTAAAGCCATCCACTTGGATTATTGCTGTTGGAGTATATATCTTGAGTCCTGCCTTGCTGGAGGGTATAACTCAAATCACAACCCTTAGCTTCCTTGAGGGTATACCTATGAATCTCCTGGGAAGGTTCACCTTCCTCTTGCTCCGGTTCTGTGTTTTGGCTCATCATCATCTCACCCCTGGATTTGGGACAGCAGCCGTCATCTGATCTGCTGATCAGGGTTCATCAAACCCTGAGAACTGGGAGGATCCTCCAGACCTACTCAGAGACCTGGGACTTGCCAGCCTCCACCACCCCTATGTGAGACGATCCCTTGGGTGTCCATGAGTTCTGTGAGGTGTTACAGTGAAATACAGAACCCTAAAACGGGGAGAGCTTACTGAAAGGAGGAAGAGAAGTTAATGTCTGAAATGATGGAGTGGCACAATAGTTTGGACATTTGGGACATCTTTAATCTCCGCCTCATGGGGACCGGCCTTGTGCTGATCTTTCTCAGAGAAATTGTTCAAGCCAATGTTGATTATATCCCACCTGAATTTAGAGACCACCCAGGAGTAGATTCGACATATTGAACGTTAGTGGCTGAAAACCAGATGAGTTGAGAGATGACATCAAGAACATCATACATGAACAGAACAAGGTCATTAAAAAGGAAAGAAAGAAAAGACCAAAATAGATGTTAGAAGAGACTCTGAAACTTTCTTTTGAATGTGGGGTAGCTTAAAGCAAATCAAAGAAATGATGTAGTAAAACTACTGAACAGAAGATTTCAAAGGGTGTCTTGAGAAGGCAAAGTATTATGTGCAAAAATCTGGGTTTAGAAAACCAAAAGGGAAGAACATAGTTGGGATTTTTCAAGCTGAAATAACTGAAGGAAAAATTCAAGCCT